TTGTGAAATAAATCCTGAAATGTTTATTCTTGTAACCTATGCTTTATTTCTCAAATAAGCTTGTTATCTTTTTTAATTTTGAATGGCTAATGGAGGTTTAGAAGTATTAGTGCTACTTAAGGTCTTAGAACCATCTTCAAGGCTCCGAGACAGCATTCTGGGTTTCACCTTCATACTCCCTGGTTTCATTATGCTACAGACATTGATAACAGAGCAAAAATAAAAACCACTTCATTAGCATTTAATTAATATACTCTGTATTTCATCATCTTTGGCTACTCAAAATAGGTAAAAAGATTTAAAAAGAAAGCAGGGGCTGGGCATGGTGGCTCACCCCTATAATCCTAGTACTCTGGGAGGCCAAGGCAGGTATATTGCTTGACCTCATAGTTGGAGAGCAGCCTGAGCAAGAGAGAGACCCTGTCTCTAAAAATAGCTGGGCATTGTGGCAGGTGTCTGTTGTCCCACTATTCAGGCGGCTAAGGGAAGAGAATTGCTTTAGCCCAACAGATTGAGGTTGCTGTGAGCTGTGATGCTACAGCACTCTCCTGAGGGCAACGTAGTGAGACTGTCTCAAAAACAAAATAACCAAAACCCTTTGAAATAAATCTACTCTGTTTCAAATGTCCAAATATATAAATTAATGAAATTCCATTTTATTTTAGCCTCAAGGATTTTAATCTATAACCCCCCAAATTTCTTCATCAAGTTTGTTTTAATATTGTGAAGATTTGATATTAACAATAACATATCACCCACTGTGGCACTTTCATTATGCTGTGACTTACTGCGAAGTCATGACATGATTTGGATTAAGGACTCAGAGAGGACTAGAAACATTCTAATTGTGAGATGTGCAGGCTGAAGTTACTACACTTTTCATTCAAAAATAATCATGTAATCCCATTAGGTGTCATTACAGCTCCAAAAATTTTAATTATTATGAAGTAAAATGAATGCATTTAATTCAAGATTATTAGTTTATGAGAAAAATATATGCAATTAAAAAAACATGTATAATAGGACAAACTATGGCAAAAATATGACATTAGCATAATTGTCTCAGAATTTGAAGAAAGAAATAATAATTTTTATACCGCCCTTCCTATCATTCACAAAGCAGATATGTGATACACTGTTGTTTTCTATGGAAAAACAAAATCTTATTAAGGTGCAGAAAATAGTATTTTCTAGTTAATACTTCACGCTGAATCATTATCACTATTATATGCTTATGCAAGCTATTAAACATAATTGTTTTAAAAGCAATAAATAAATTTGAACAATAATTTTGAGTGCCTAAAAGTTATCCTAATATTCTGAGAGTTTTAATGTTTCTCTAGAATATTTATATTGCAAACTTTTGTTTCATTCAATAAAATGTCATAAAATAAATTATCATAATTAATTTAGGATTAAAGTAAAATAATTGTGTTATACTGTTAAGTCTTTCTTTCAAATTTTGGCCATGTAATGTTTTTGTGGTCTCAGAAACTTATAATGGGTTTGCAAAACAGCATACATCAACTTAAAAAATACTACCAGTTGCTTATCTTAATAGCTATATTACATTATTAAATAAACATAAGTGTCATTCTTTATATTTAAATATTAATTTTACAATAAAATATTAAAATATACACAGAGCGATTTCTATTCTAACAAAATATATCTAGCTACCTCTCTTGAATGTGTAAGATTATAACACAAAACAGTATAATGCCTGGAGACCATTAAATGCAAAACTTTAAACAATAAAGCATTAGTAAAAACCACAGGAAAATCAAAAAAAGCTCTGATTATAGAAAGGAAAAAAAAACTATTAAACAGGAATAAGTCACAATTAAGCTCTATTCATCAATAGACACTGTCAGGAGAGTAATTAGAAAATCCACTAAGGAGTTGAATGTACAATGTAAATATCTAGCAGTGTTCTGATAAATGTTTCACAAGATCTGTAGAAGAAAAAATAAAGCCCAGAGTTTTGGTATTTCCCTAAGTGAGTGCTATAAATACTTCTACAATGGCACATTTTCTATCTTTGTTTTCCTTTTTTTATTTTAATAGGTTCAGGGGTACAAGTTGAGTTTTGTTACACATATAGTGGTAAAGTTTGGGCTTTTGGTATGCCCATTACCCAGGTAGGCCACATTGTACCTTGCAGGTAATTTAATTTTTCATTCCTCATCCACAGCTACTTTTTTGCCTCATGAGGCTCCAATGTCCATGATACCACTTTGCCCTGTGTAACCATAGCTTAGCTTATAAGTGAGAACATGTGGCATGTATTTTTCCGCTCCTAAGTTCCTTCACTTAGGATAATGGCCTCCAGTTCCATGCGACTTGTTGTAAATGTCCATTTCATTCTTTCTTATTACCATCGCAGACTGCAAACTCTCCTAATTCTTGGCATTTTAATAATTGGCTATTATTAGGTGGTTTTAAATCCTCTGTTGATATATCCAGCAGGGACACACCTCACTGTATATCTCCAACAGAGGATTTATATATTCTCTATAACCCAATAAAAAAGTAAAGATTAGTAGAAAAGGGGCATAAGTCTTCAGACACTTAAAAAACAAAGAATATCCACATGAAAAGTAAGCATGAAAACAAGTGCTTACTACATTAGTCTTTAAGAGATTCCAATTAAAATACTCTTATACAGACACCAAAAATGTCCAAAATTAGGTAGAAAAATCTCCAGTGTTACTTTCTATAGCAGCATCTGAACTCTCATACATCTGCTTTCAAAATCTAATGCCCACTTTGGAGAACTGTCAGTATCCCTAAAGCAGAACATATGCATACCCCATATCCCCAAAAGGGTATACACAAGCTCCCTAAAAGACAAGATCCTGATTTCCGTGTCACCACTATTTAGAGGCGCCAAAGTCTGGAAGACATTTAAATGCTTACCAGTGGAAGAAAGTGCCCTTAATTTGGTACGTTCACACAGTTGAATACCACACCAAAAAGAACAGGAGTGATTTACCACTGTACATAAAAACAACCCTACAGACGTAATGTTGAACAAAGGAAACAAAACAGTGCCTACTGTGTAATTTATAGAATATAGAAAGGAGGCGTGATATACACCTAGAAGTCAAGATATTGCTATGCTCTGTGGGCATAGTGACTAATAAAGAATATAACAGAAGCTTCAAGTTATTCTAACATTTAATGTTTTCAGGTTTTTAATTTATGTGGGTGTTGGTATATGAATGAATCCATTTTGTAATAATTTGCTGAGACTGTACACAAAAAACGAATAATGTTCTATATATACATTTACATAACAAGGTGTAAAATACCAGAGATGATAGTAATTTTTTCAATCATTCCATTTTATAAGTTGAAATAATTCTGTAAAAAAAGTTCACTCAGTGTAAGGGTTAACAGAAATATTAAACTACATCCTAAGAGGAAGTGCTAGGCTAATTCAACCCCCACGTGAAAAGGCCGGATGAAAAGACCAGTACTGGTAAGAAAACCGGATAGAACTAGCTACATTGTACAAGACTTAGACAGAACCGCAGAGCACAGCGCAGGGCCCCTCCCATCAGAACAGCATAACCCCTCCGCCCTTCCCTCACATTTTAAACCTATCATAGGCCAAAGACTACATTCCTAGCCTTATATAGATTCAGCTTCATTAAGTAACCACGCCCCCTCAACTAACCCTATATAAGATTGTACCGATCCCTAATAAACAGCTTCGGCTCAGCCTTCTCCCTATACTGTATGAGTGGTTGTGTGATTGTGTCCACCCTTTCCTTCTCCCTCTCATATGCCGATCACGAACTCTCCGACACCGCCCCGCCGGTAGGGCAGTGTCAACTCAGGTATATTATGCAACATAATTTACAACTTAAAAGTATACCTCTGGCTTTTTGGAAATAAAATTATTACTTTATGTGCATCTGAGTAAAGCATCAACTTTTCTTTCATTATCAGCGGAATTCTCCCTGATAGGTCTGAGGAATTTCGCTTTGCTTTGATATGACACCTATTTTTAATAATACTATGTTGATTGTTTCTAAAAAAAGTAATCAAATGTATAACTTCAAGTTCTTAGAGATATTACTGTCCATATCACTTAAAATAGCTTCCTCATGATACATTTCAATACTATATGGTCAAATAAACAAAAGTTTTAATCAATTGCCTTTGTGTTTTCAAAAATATTTCTCTCAAAATATAAAATGTATAATAGAAATGCATATACTATCTGGATTTTATATATTGATTACATTGCTAAGTCTTTATTGTTTACTATTAAGGAACAGAAAAACTCTGAAAGTTGTCTTATTAGAAATAAACTTTACCAGTCTCACAGTAACACAAATAAAGTCATGTTTATGTATATTCTAAGGAAACCGATTATTAGTATAAATCAGATTCATGTTTACAACAAATATTGCTGAATGAATTTAACCACAGAAGTTAAGAAATAAATAATGCATCAAAATTTCCATAGAAGTCACTTGTTATTTCTTATCATTTTATTTCCATAGTTATTTATTTTACTTTTAACTCCCTGAAGCTCTAACATCAAGCTTTCAAAGGGGAACCCAATTTTGATAAATCTTGACAGATGATAAAATACATTTTACTTTCAATAACTCATTGCCTCTATTCATTGGCATCAAATAGACTTCAGAATGAAAAATTTAATATATAAAATTGTCATTCATGTCTAAAAACCTTTTTTCCTATGGTATAAATCTTTACCTTTCTGAGTTATGCCTCCAAATTCACTTAGAAACCTATCAAAGACAGTGTCAAATAACTTTATTACTATCAACTCCCAAAACATAAACATTCGGAAAGAAAACATCATAGAGTTCCTTTAACATTTATGGGAAAATATCAAATGAATTATCCCAATTTCTTCTATTTTTGAATACTGGACATTATAAAACAGAGGTAATAAAAAGTAAATAACTTTAAAATTAGGCATATTAGTATATATTGGTATATATTATATATAATCTTACCATGAACTCACAGGTTAGGAATTCAAAGAAGTAGTTCACTACCCTGAGACCTAGAAAAGTAGAACCAGAAACATCATTTATTAGTACTGTATTCAATTTTCATTCACACATCACAAAATAATAGCTATTCAGTATTATAAGAAAATATTATATGAGCAATTAATATACATTACACACGACAAATATTTTTGACTTCAACTTTTGTCTGAAACAGCATTATCAGTTATTAGCTTTCACCGAACTATTATGATTTAAGACTAATTACATGTAAAAATGTGATTATCCTATTACAATCTCGTTTTCATCTTTATTTATGTGTTTTAATCATTGTATGATATAAAAATCTCCATAAACATATTCTATAAAGTTATATCATAATTTTAAAGGCAGAGTACTTCATAGTTCACTATGTTTCCTAAATTAAGATATTTGATATAATAACATGACATTGTTTATTTTCTTTAAAGTAGGTTCCTTGTTTACTTTCTGTTTCTTTATTTCATAGTTGTAGAAGTTTTATCATTTCGATGTGGTGGTAACTTACTAATCAACATACTGTAAATTTGCTTAATTCTAGATCGATACTGTTCTACGTGCACAAACCAGCAAAATGAAGATTCAATCTCTACCCTCTACTCTGAATAAAGAAATCAGTGAACTCTTAAGAAAACTCACAAAAAACTGGTAGGTCTATCAGAAGATGCTCTATTGAGTGCTGTCTACTTAAATGCAATATAATTTAATAAAAGAGATATTTTAAGTGATTAAATCTATTATGTCACTGTCTCACTGGTTGGTATTGTTATGGAGGATATGTTCTGCTCAGGTGTCAAATATGACGTATTAAATTGTTTCAACTGGTTCCTACCATAATTGAAGGGAACATTATACAACATTTATCCAGAGTAGATATAATACTTAACTCTTAGAAGGGATTATTACATGTGTAGTGAATCGGACACTATAAAGAACTACCTGGCAAGGCACGGTGGCTCATGCCTGTAATCCTAGCAGTCTGGGAGGCTGAGGGAGGTTTATTGCCTGAGCTCACAGGTTTGAAACCAGCCTGAGCCAGAGCAAGACCTCATCTCTAAAAATAGCCAGACATTGTGGCGGGCTATGTGGGAGGTCTCCAAGAGGATATTTTAAGCCCAGAGTTTGAGGTTGCTGTGAGCTATGATGCCACCCACAGTACTCTACCCAGGGCCACAAAGTGAGATTCTGTCTATAAAATATATATCTCCACTTGAGGGGTGAAGTAAAAAGTCACTAATATTCCTTTGATGAAATGTTAGAGAAAAACAAATATCACTATCACAGAAGTGCAAACATTTGCTCCTAAATCTGTCGTTTCTATTCTGCATATTGAAATGCAGGTGTATAATGAAATCTTCAATAATGAATGCTTATATGTTCTTGGCCATAGTCACAGACCCATTACTAGTAGAGACGAGATTATATGCCATGGCTCTGATTACCCATCCATTGGGTTTCACTTCAGTTAAAGGCAGTGTTGCAGGTCTTACCATTCTCAGGTTGGTGGGCGCTATTTACTAGCCTGCTAAAGATGCTGTCTCTGCTGCCCATTCATTTTGCAAATCCTAATGCACATGGCTTAACCTGGTGGCCCTCCCAGGCTCATTCTTCTAGTATGGATTTCCGCTTTCCCTTTCTTTGATGGAACAAAGGATAAGATGATGATTTTTATTAAAAGGGAAATCTCTCCCAAGCATTGTGATCTGAAGTGCCTTTATTTAAAAAAGTAACAAATTACAGTTACCTGCCTTCCTCACTTCCCTTTTTATCTAGAGGCTCAGCAAATTAAATTCTGCCCAAATTTCAAAAGGGTGAGTTTTAGAATCAACATTTGGTCGATGCTAAATATTTCCATTGTAGAATGAACTTCTTAGACACAAAAATCAAAATTTCACTCATTATTATGACTTTATTATTAAAGTTTAAATTCATGCTTTAAGATTTTGACATGATAGTACAGACATAATAACTTTTAGCACTCTCAGATGCTATATTACTCCTTCTGGCACTGTATTTAATACCTGCAATACTAAATCGATACTTTCAAATGAATAATAGAATTTCAGTAAAAAAGCATCTAAAGAGATTTATGTCTTTCTTGAATGCTTCCCTTTGTTTGAAAGTGAATTTAGATATTAATGATGAATCCAAAGCACATCCTTATCTGTGTTACTGATACTGTTCCTCTCATTAAATATGTTGGACATGCAGATTGAACATCACTGAATGTATTTAAATTCAGGAATTCCAGATGCGATATAAAAGGCATTTGGTTAGTTGGTCTCCCAAATCCAAATGCAAGGCACAGAGGCAATTTTACACTTACAAGAAGGCCAAAGCAGAAATACAGTTTAATACAACTTTAATTTACCTTTTTCAATGATTGCTGAAGCTTGACTCAGTATCAAAGGATACTGAGTACTCATATGTATTTAAAGAGAAAAAAGTAAATTTTATCCAGCTATGCATAAATAACTATTTTTAGGGGAGATGCTTATGATGAAGGACTGGTCACTAAGTTGTCAATGACACTGATATTAGGTTAGAGTTTTATCCTTCTATATATCAAGAAGTTTTATTTCACATAAGATTCTAGATAAAAAAAATTGACCAGATATATTTTCCTCAGTTGTTCTAGCTATCTGCAGAAGAATAATCGTTCAGAAACTACTAGGCTATGTCCAGCAAACTTCAAACAAATTTATTAGTAATGTCATAATTCTGATATCATAAAATGACCATGTCAAAGAAGGAATGGTTCAAACTTATGCTTATGTAACTGTCAAATTTCTACGGATATCTTGAAAAGTTGTACTTGAATCAATATTTCTGATGATAAATTAATATCATTAGTGAAGAGATTTACTGGGTATATGACTCTGGGTCTGGATAATTTCCTGAAATTGGCATTTCCCATGGTTAAAGGGAATTAGAATGCATTTTATTATCTCCATTTGATTTTTTGAGGAGTTCAAATATTTGAGGGAGGGGAAAAAGTTTAACTAAAATGATTTGTAAACCTAAAAATAATTAAATAATTTTCAATAATATAAATACTTTAATACATTAAATTACTTTAAATACTTAAAATAATTAACTGGATAATTAAAAAAATATATTATTGGGTTTAGGAAATTAATAATAAATCAGTGATAGATAAAGTGTATCATGATAGGATTTATACATTTTATCTCACATATCCTCATTTTTTGCTCATCAAAGTTTTATGTGTTAAAGATTATTTCTACATTTTCAGATACGAGACTAGATGGCAGCAGTTGCCTGAAAATCTCTATAAAAGCCATACCACTAATACATTGTGGAGTCCAAATTCAACCTTTTCTTTCTTTTTTGTTTTTTATTCAGAGACAGAGTCTCACTTTATTGCCCTGCCCTCGGTAGAGTGCTGTGGCATCAGAGCTCATAGCAACCTCCAACTCCTGGGCTTAGGCCATTCTCTTGCCTCAGCCTCCTGAGTAGCTGGGACTACAGGTGCCCGCCACAATGCCTGGCCATTTTTTGTTGCAGATTGACTGGGCCATGTTCGAACTCACCAGCTTTGGTATATAGGGCTGGTGCCCTACCCACTAAGTGACAGGTACAGCCCCCAAATTCAACCTGTTATTAATTAAATTCAGAATCTCAATTGTCATATACCAGGAAAGGAAAGTATTAACAGATAACATTAATAGAATACATAATGCATGTCAGGTCTAAGTGGTTTTTATGTTTTAACTCACTTAATTCTTATGTTAATTTATTTCTACCTTATAGATGAAAACTGAGCCTTGAGAATGTTATTATTTATCATAGTACTTGATGATTATGCAGTATGTTTACAAGTACTATTTCAATGAACATATATCCATTATTTTTTTCAGGTTTAAGGCTCAAGTAATCACACATTTATTATGATTCTAATATCACCTTGGTTGGCCCTAGGTGCAGCAACAGTTACCATTGATTGAACACACACTATGATTGAACACACACTATGAGTCAGAATGTATGTCAGAAGTTTCATCTCATTTAATCTCTATAGGAACACTATCAGGTATTAGAAGCATCCTTACCATACAAGGGTAGACTACCACAAAGGTTTGGAGACGCAATGTTACAACCCATTATTTCGCTTTCAAGAAACACATTTGACAGCATCCTTTCTGATTCACTTGCACACATTTCAACTTTCTCAACTTACTGATGTGGCTAAAAGGGCTGCATTTGTTTCTGTCTGTAGAGATTGTATGTTTCTTGATTTTTGTGTATCACAAAACTTTCATAATGACCCATGTGTAAGAAAATCGACTGGAGAGGTTAACAAATGTATCCAAGGGCACAGAACTAGTACATTATATAGTTGAATTTCAAGTACAAACTCTTCTCCCCTTTAGTTATGTGCAGCATAGTGATTCACTTATATGAAGGAAAAATGAAAGAACATTAGGGAATTCTATTTTTGTCCATTTAAAAATGAATTTAAAACTTCAACTTTGGGCAGCACCTATGGCTGGGTGAGTAGGGAGCCGGCCCCATATACCAAGGGTGACAGGTTCAAACCCAGCCCCAGCCAAATAGTGACATAAAAAGCCAGGCATTGTGGCGAGCACTGTAGTCCCAGCTACTTGGGAGGCTGAGGCAAGAGGATCACCTAAGCCCAAGAGCTGGAGGTTTCTGTAAGCAGTGTGACACTGCCATGGCACTCTATTGAGGGCGACAAAGTGAGATTCTGTCTCAGGAAAAAACTTCAGCTTCACATCCTCCATTTTTTCATAAATCTATAAGAATAGTAAATAAATTAAAAAACCTTCTAGCCTTACAACTTCTATATACTATGATTAATTTCAGGTAGTGACAGCCCCACGGTGCCTATCTCATTAAATGTTAAATTGAAACTATGCATTATTTATCAGCATGCTGATTTCCAGAGTTTTCTGTCAATACATTTTGGAATTCATAAGATTTACAGAATATGTAAATTATATGTAACAGAAGAAAGTTTTGGCATAGGTTA